ACAAGGCAGCAATCGGTTGGATTGGAGCTTGGCAATTTCATCAAAAATCTTGGCAAAGGGACCAAACTCTTCATTGAGGTATTTATCTCCCTTTTTTCCAGCTTTTTTTTTAATTAACTAGATTGAATGTATGTGTGGTTACTTTTTTTATTGCTTATTTTTGCTGGTTTTTGTTGGTGTTGTATGGATGAAATTTTGGGATGGGTCATGAACAAAATTAGGGAAAAAAGAAACGGTGCTGTGAATGCATGCCAAATGTTTGAAAAAATGTTTAAATGAAAAAATGAATCAAAGGAGTGAATTTGGTGTGTATGGTTTGCTTAAATGGATGACCATTAGCTAGCAAAGATCTGAAAATGCTTGGTTATCCAAAATTTTGGGAGTTTTTGAGCCTTCAAAGCATTAGAATAATTTTCTTCATTTTTGGGGCTGTTTTGACTTAATGCTTTATTTTGTTGTTGTTTATTTGTCAAACTAAGATTATAGTTGTAATGTAGAAGTTATCAGGAGGGTTTTGGCATAATTTTTATGATTTTTGGTGAAGATGTGAAGGTTTTAAAAAAATAAAAAACTGAACTGATTTCTTGGCATTTTGACCACTTTCGACTCATTTTTTGTAAAAACTAACTCCGAAAATGGAATCTACGTGAAAAATCGAGTGAGGGGGTGTATTTTGAGAAAATTTGGTGACCGGAGAGATCGCCGGCGGCGGTCCGGTGGTGGCGCCGCCGGAGGCAACCATGGCCGCCAGCAGGGAGAAGCTTCAGCTTCTCGGTGGAAGAAGAAGAAAGAAAAGAGGAAGAAGAGAAGAAAGAAAAGAAAAGAAAGAAAAGAAAGAAAGAAAAAAAAAGGATTTGGGCTGATGTTTATTTTTCTGATGGGCCAAGAGTTAGTTTTGGTTGGGTTTTGAAAATGGGCTTTGGTTTATTTTTCTTTTGGGTTTCGGTTGGGCTAGAAGGTCAGAGCCCATGCCTTTATTTTGGTTGGGTTTGAGTGATAGAAGATGGGTTGGCCTTGTGTTTTGGCTTGGACTTTCGGTTGGGCTTAGGTAGTGTCCGGCCCAAGGAAATAAAATGATGGCATGGTGGCCCATTTCTTAAGAATATCAGAAACCGATTTTTGCATTTTAGCCCCTGGTCTTTGGAGTAGTTTCACTGCGGCTCAGAACATTTTAAATTTCTTTCATGTAGGTCCTTAAATTAATTTCACTTTGGTCCCTGAATTTTATCTTTCATTTAATTTTGACCCCTGAACTTTGGAAAATATAATTTTTGTCCCCCAAAAGTTTTCAATTTTTGCAATTCAGTCTTTGGCAAATTTTGGCTCTCTTTATTATGATTGTTTCTTTTCTTCAATAACTAATTATGTTACTTTTGAACATATTCAACTTGTAATTTTTAGATGTTTTAAATTTCTTTATGTTTGACATATTAGTGTGAGTTTAATACTTATTATTATTGTTTTTTTTCAATTAAATTGGTGCCATGATTCTTTTGTTCATTGTTAGTATAAATAGGACAATTTGACTCCATTTAGTCACCACTTCAAACGGGAGGTACCCCTATTTTTATTATTTCAATGTCAATTACGTGCTCTTATGTGCTCTTATGTGTTCCTATGTGTTTATATTTTTATATGTTTTATTTATTTGATTTAAATATTCATTCAAATTTTCTTATATATGTTTTAGTTAATTTTTATAATTATTCGAGAGGCATTTAAATACCTCAAAAATGTAATAGATAGGATAATTAGATTTGTTTTATTATATTTTTCCCTTCTAGATTGTAGTTAGGCGTTCCCCGATGTAATAGATAGGTTTGCGTGTTTATGTGGCTTATGTGTTATATGTTTTACCTGCTTTCCTTAGGATTTTTGCATCTAGATATTATGCTTACGTGTTACGTGCAACGTGCTCTTATGTGTTTATTTGTTTTAATTTATGCTTTATTTGTTTCACTATGAATTGTTAATGCATGACGTCACCACACTAGTCCAACGCTAGTTATGGTTTCTCCCTCCGCTTACTTGCTAGTCCAACGCTAGTAAGGACTTTTAGAAATGGGCTAGTCCAACGCTAGACCCTTTAGGTCATCTTGCGCTAGATTCATCTTTGTATGCTATTCACTACATTTTCATGCATATTTTCATTTTTAGGATCTTTTCTCATTTGCATGATATTCCCTATTATATTATCCCTTATTCTCTATATGTGTTAATCATATCATTTAGAATTGCATTTCATTTAGGACATTGTATAATAAGTTAGCTCATTTGCTTGTGCATATTAGGAGAATTATTTTTCAAACATGGGAAATGGGTGATTATAACTTTTTAGTTTAAATACCCCATTAATCCCTGCATAAGAAAATTATGTCATGAGTTTTTGCCTCCCATACCCTTTATGTTGCATTCCCTTTTTCTTTGATCACTTATATCTATGTATATAATTTAATTTACTTTCTTTACTTTTCTTTTTTTCATCATTTGCATACTCGTGACACTTTCAAGGAATCATTTTGGCCTTCGCAATTAATGCGATTGGTTCAATTAAACCCCTTGAATGAACATTTTGTCCCTTTCGATATATTTAGATTTGCATCCATATAGGAAACATCCAAATATGATAAAATTAAGGGTTAGATTAGGAAAATTTTGACTAAACCTCGCAACTAGCTTAGACTAGGTTGAAAGGGTGCCTTAGGTTTGAGTCAATTGAACATTCGCCTTCCCTTTCTTCAACCGTGACTCCCGAACCCATTTTCTCTTGTTTTCAAAGACCTGGAGTTGTCAAAAAGGGTTTTATTTTATTTTACTTTATTTTTGGGTGACTTGGTACACCAAAACTCCATACCAAGTGGCGACTCCTATTTTTTCTTAAAAACCCTTTTAGACCAAATTTTGGACCCAAATTGTCGCATTCTTTTAAGTCCCATTCTAGGTCCTTTTTAATTTATTATTAATAAATCACATCTTTTATAAAACACCTTCTTTCTTTTCCATCGCGAAAAAATGGGGCGCGACAATATGGAAGCCAAGATGTATTTTTTCTGTTGGAGTGTAATAAGCAAAAATATATACTGTTTGGTTGGAAGGTAATAAGTAAAAGTATGTTATTGTAATGACAAATGAGCTCCATAAGGGCATTTTGGGGCTGTCACACAAGCTTTTTGCTAACCTCAACAACATTACTAAAGGTTGAAGTCTTGAAGACGTCAGGCAGCATTTGGTTAAACGTTTGCTCATTCAGGGGTTAGATAGTTATTTGGCCAAATTTCAAGACTTGATTAGTAATTTGACCAAACCTTAGGGAAGGTAAATCTGATCAATCATTTGTTAGTCAAGTCATAAGTTTTGCCTGAAAAAATTGTAAGTTTTGTTGAAAAAAAGTGGGGGAGAGCATAAGTTTTGCTTAAAAGTGAGTAAGATTTCTTAATGATGTTGGACAGTTTATTAACAAAGTGGTGAGATTTGTTAATAAAATCATTAGTTTGCTTGAAAAAGTAGTAAGTTTTATATAAAAAATGGTAAATTCCAGAGAAAAAGTGATAATTTGTTGTTAAACATCTAGTATATTTGTTATTTAAATAGTAAGTTATTTTGAAACTTGTTTTATGCAAAAACATACTATTAATTACACCAAATTTACTATCACAATTTTGTCTCTTGTGAAACCTGTGCTAGCAGGTTAAAACCTACATATAGCGTCATATCATGCACTTAATTGTGAATTATGGTTACTCTTTGTCACCACTTGTCCATTTTCAAATTGTATATGCATGGTGGAAAGACTTGGATTACATCCAATCCTGAAAAGGCTGATGCATTTTTTCTATACACATTGTAGATAATGGAAATTTGTGAAATAAAAATAAAAAGATTATGTTCACAAAAATATGAAGAATTAACCTTGTATACGCTGTCAGTGTATATACTATCACCGTTAGCTATGTAACATATGTGTAAAATTTGAATTTAAAATTCAAATTTTGCTCGTGTGTCATTCATTCAACCGTAATAGTGTATACACTGACAATGTATATAAGATTTACTCAAATATGAACTCTTTCATTAACCGACAAAAAAAAAGTATATTCTTGAAGAGAGAATTTTGACATATGAGGCAGGAGTGCATCATAAATTTTTAATGAAATCCTTTATGCAAAAACTGGTGATCTTTAATGCAATCAACCTGTTTCCATCTCAAAATATTCTAATTTGATTTCTTTGGAGAAAGGAACAGTTGTAGAGCGAGACAACTGAATAAAGAATTGCTCAACAAAATTGTCATCTTGTTTCTTTGATTTTTCATTTTGATCAGTTTGGACTTCTGTAAAGTACCGCTAGCTTGAAGATACAGAAAGTTTGTACTTGAAAATAATGTAAAGAAGAAAGAAAGACCCTTATAAAGATAACTGTGGCACAAGTTTTCAGAAAACTTTTTTTTTTTTTTTTTTTTCCTTTGGCTTGATATCTAAAGCTATTTCTAGATCTAGTGCCGGTGAAAATGGGCTGCATATAGCAACAATACACAAATTGTACAAGACAACTATTTGAGGCAATTTTTACTATTCTTTTCCTATGCCCTTTCTCTATTGAAAAGTAACATAACCAAATTTTCATTTTTATTTTGATTTATCTCCTCCTAATATTTGTTGCAAGAAAAAAAAAAAAGAAACTATTTTATGTTTTAACATATCAGTCAATTGGGTGTATGGTTCTTTGTCGAGGAAAAACAGAAGCAAGTTAAAACTTTCTGTACCACCCTGACTGAAATACAAGGACGGAAGAGAAAAATGCAGCTTGCATACTCAGCTAGTTATAAGCATCAAATCAATCTGTAGCTGCATTAAACAGAGTGTGCACGATAATATTGTTGGACTGATTAATGAGTGATTAAAAAAGAATGGGGAAGCTCCAGAAATTGCTTTCAAGAAACATGAATTAGACACCTTGCGAGGGAATTGGATGTGTTTCTGAGAGACTTCTTCTGAGGAACTTCATGCATGACCACAATATTCCATTATGATCTCTAGAACATCATTTCCCATATCCATCTGCTCTTGTTGAATTTGCCTCATTGATCTTACAACAGACTCATCACACCATTTCACCTCAATCATTTCAAGAGTCGGACATTCCCCTAAACAAGAAGGCACCTCTTTCAACCTCGGACAATTGTGCACAACCAATTTCTCAAGAAGGAGAAAACTATCAGAAGATGCAGTCCAGCTGCGCAAGGCCAAGCCTATCAAATTCAAGACTCGGAGGTTAGGGAACTCCCCTTCTTTCATTTCCCATTCTTCGATCCCAACAAAGGAGCCATTGAGCACTTGAAGATTGGGCAACTTTCCAATTGTTGAGATTTCACTCCATGGCTGATCATTATACGAAAGAGTCAACTTCTTCAAATTCAATGGGAATTTAAATCCGTATCCATAAAAAAAAGATAGATTAAGTGATTCTAGTTGACTCAAACAGTCGAACACCAGAATCTTGTCGTCAATTCTGGTAAATTCTTCACTTGATTTCTCCGATCTCTTACATTTCAGCCTGCGGATGCTTGGTAAATATGTCAGCAGCTTTTGCAAGCTTTGAGAGGAGGGATCAATGGCAAGCTTTAAAGTGTTTAAATGATCTAAGCATGGGGATATTTCAAGATCGTCAACAGGAAAAACAAAACCATAATTGAAACCTGTGATACATAGATGCCTCAATGTCTTAATGTTCCAGATAGTTTTTGGTAACACATAATAGAATATTGAGTCTCCTCTTACCAGAAAAGTTTGTAACCTTGAGAGGTTGGATATTGCAAATGGGATGGAAATGGAATTTATTGGGTTGGAAATGGAATTTATTCCTCGAATATGAAGAGCTAAGTATCTCAAGTGAACAAGCAATACTACTTCCATCGGAAAATATGCATCAAACACCAAGTTCCTCAAATCCAACACTCTCAGAAGTTTAGGCAACCAAAATCCCAACTCTTCCTCTTTGAACGACAACAAACTGCGTAAATTGGGAAAAAATAGCATTGAGTGCTGAATCTTCAATTTCCTGGTATTCTGATCACAAACTCGGTGGGGGTTGCTTAGACCAGTAAGATTAAAAGGATCTTTCCCACGACATATAATGTGTAGAAAGTTTTCTTCTTTGGCTTTTTCTACACAAAACTCATGTACCAAATCATGAAGTCGGCAAGCTTTGGCACCACTCGTAGTTCTTTGTTTGGTAACCATGACTAAACTTCTATCAACCAGTGCCTTCAAGTAGTCATCTGCCACATCCACTATTCTCTTTCCAGTTTTCTTTCGCACAAATCCTTCGGAGATCCAAAGCCATAACAATCTTCGGACAGGAACATTTTCGTCTTCTTGAAATACACCAAAATAAAGAAGGCATGGCTTCAAATCATCTGGTAGATGAATATAACTTAGTTCAAGTGTCTTCATGCAATATTCTTTGTCAAGGGCAATGCTGAAACTTAGACTTTTTGCAACTTCTTCCCAGAAATTTTGTGCAGTAGTAGCAAAAATTCCAGCAGCAAGGACAACTGTAAGAGGTAAGCCCCTACAATATTTTACTATTTGAGATCCAACTCCATGTAGTTTTGTGGGACAACCTTCGTTGCCAAATAGCTTTTTCTGCAGCAATTGCCAACTCTCTTCATCAGTAAGGTGCCGGAGATAGTGAGCCTTGCTACCAGGTTTGAATTGCAAATTCAGCAATCTACTCATGACGAGAATCCTGCTTCCATTGGCATCATCAGGTAATGATCTTTCCAACAAATTCCATGCCTCAATGTCCCATAGATCATCCAAAACTAGGAGATACCTATTTCTGAGCAAAACTTGTTTTAGCTTTACAGCCAAATCATCCTCATCCACCTTTAGATATTGTTCTGGGCTCCTAGAATCAATACTACCCAATATCTGAACTAACAAGTTGTGCCGGCTATATACTTGAGACACAGTGCACCAAGCACGAATTTGGAAATGCAACATTACTGAAGGAGAACTATAAACTATATTGGCTAGTGTGGTCTTACCGAGCCCAGGCACACCCACGATGGGAACAACATCCAACTGCCTTGATCCTCCTGTAAGTCTATGAGTGATAGTTGTCACCTCATTGTCGAGAAGCACCAGATCTTCATTGTACGTGGCCGCAGTGACTCGTGATGGCATGGGAGTGAAAGTCTTGGTAACTCTCTTGGTTTCACCAACATCGCTCATGCTACCATAGATCTCTTGGGCCTCAATCTTCATAAGATTGATATCTCTAGCAACAACATCGAAACAATATTCACGTTCATCACCAAAAGGTGTCGAGTCGATCACTAACTCTGCTTTATATGCAACCTCCATAACACGACGCCAAAAAGCTTGGAGTTTTTTGTTCTGATTGCACTGGTCTACTATCTTTCCAAGGAAAGATCTTAAGAATACGAGATCTTCTAAGACTCTGTGGATTTGATCATATGGGAATGCAATTGAATCATCGGCCTCATTACAACTCTGTAGTTCCTTCAGATTTTCAAGTAGAATATCCATAGAGCCCAACTCATTGGTCCTAGGAAAATCAAATCCTGATATTGATGTTATCGGATCCATTACTTCTGCCTTAATAAACTTGAGCACCTGGAGCAAATGAAAAAGAGCAAGATCGGTTTCCTTGGCCAAGCCTTCTTCGATTTGACTCACAGAAAGGGAGAAAATTACAATTGCTGCATCACAGACTACAACTCCAGTAAGAGTCTTCATTCCATGGGGTAGCTCTGTGAACTTCTCCTGATGCCTGAAAAGGATTGTTAGGAATCTCAGCCCATCATGGAGTTCTAGCATTTGATTCATAATCGGAACCAAAATACTGGTACAAGATTCTAGTAGCTCCATAAAATTGTGAATGAGATAATCCATAAAGTCAGCTACTAGATGCTTATTTTTCTCTAGAGCTGAAGTGTCTGATGATCTTGATAACTTTGAAGCAGTCAGGACATGGATACAAGTTTCTCGGACTTGGGGATCACTGGGATTAATCTTCTCACGTATTAGTTGAGAAATTTGAAGCCCGATTTTATTGTATACTTCTTCACCATCTCTGGGAGTGGGATTAATCTTCTCACGTAGTAGTCGAGAAATTTGAAGTCTCATTTCATCGCATTCTTCTTCATCATCTCTGTCAAACCAGCGTGTACAAATCAGGCGTAATGCATTGATAGCCACCACTTCAGCGTGAACCAAGAGATCTATCAAGTGCTGACCCTCGACGCCGTGTAGCAGGACAAAGCGAATGAAACTATTCAAGAACATTAGCTTCTCTTCAAGGGTTTTGAAATGGGATATCTGACTTTTGAGGAGAAGTTCGATCAGAATCTTTGAAACCAAATCAATGAAATCAATAACTAGTCCTGGATCCCTCAGCCAATAATAGTCCAACAGAAAGTTGATACACGATTCGTTGATATCTGTCTTGAAAAACAACTTGATTTCTTTCCGGAATAGGGTGAGCTCTCCTTTCATCTTAAGTATACCTGGTAAACTAGCATGAATAAATAATTTGCTGCAGGCAAATTCAAGATCTTGCATTCTTCTGATAATCAGGCTCTGAATTCTGAAAGAAGTAACATCCTTCTCCTCCACATCTTGTTCCGAACAGGTCTCATGGTTCCTCCTCCTCCTAGAGTTTCTCAGATACAGGTCAAAGCTTTGTAATAGTGTCAACCCGATCTTCAGGTCCCAAATCTTTAGATCAGAATGGAACTTATATTGGAAGGCCTTGTCCAACCAGCCCAGATAATCTAGAGCGGAATCAAAGCAACTAGTGCTACTACCGGAGGATATGTCCATTATTGTATCTTCTAATCTATACTCTCTGAGATCAAATTTGGATCTTGAACGAATTTTGTTCGAGGTTAACTTTCTCATTATTTGAAAATAGTCAAGTATTGTAGGCGAGGCTCTTTCTTCGTTCCTCACTTTCTCGTTGCAGTTTGCAAGACTGTTATTTTGTCTGTGTTCTGTTGGTGGAAGACTTTAAAATGCAAAGGTTCGCCCACATGTTGGGAATTATTCAATTTTGGGGTAGGTGAGATTGGGAATTCAATCTCTTAGCTGCATCATTAGCACTGTATCAGTACTTGTTATTTTTCAACCTTTCTGTCTTGCTTTGTTTTTTGGTTAGCAATATGATTGGCTTTGGCTGTATCTCCTGCACACGGACTAATTACCTTTTCATTAGCCCTTTACTATCAAATTATCCAAGTCCAGGCCCTCCAAATGTGAAAGTTGGTCACATCACATGTGCGCTTTTGATTCGCCAAATGTGAGCTTGTCATCCTTAAGTTTTTTTTTTCTTTTCTAAATATCCGGTCCCCAATATTTCCAATTTGAGCGTATTTAGTACAATTAACCATATTGTCAACCAGTGTTCAAGATACACGCGAATGTGCATGCAACTAATAAAAGAAATTTGTGTAAAATTTTTTGACTACATTTGAAATCATTTTCAAGAGAATTAATTTTATGTTGTAATAGTAAATATATAGAAAATTCACTAAAATAAAATATATAAAGAAATAATTTATTAATTTTAGTAGTAATTCATAATCGCGATTGATAGTTGCTGATAAAAATTAATATTTACTAAATAAATTGAGAAATAAAATAATAAGATATACATATTAGCTGGAAGAAGGATATATTGGAAGTTGAAAGTGTATAGTTATCAAGGGCAATTTAAGAAGAACATAAAGTCATACAAAAGGTTTACACCGACTCCTCGCTCTTGCTTTATGTATACCAAATACCAATGCTATATGTACATTCAATGCGTGTACAATCAAAAAATACACAATATTTATGGCCATATATTTTATATAAAATTTTTATTACTAAAAGAAACTTTAATCTTTCAAATTTTTTTCATACAATAATTCTATATTGGTAGTTGTAATGTTTAGGGTTAGTTATGTTGAAAACATATATTTAAATAGTTAAAAAAAATTAGTCATGAGCAGTTATCTTGACAACATATGTGTAGGTATTTAAAGTAAGAATAATTTTTATAAGGGCAAAAAAGGAAGTTCGTAAAGTGACAATAAATATTTACTCCAAACCCCTTACTCTCCCTTCATATATACTAGTGGTTAAGGCAAATCCAATGTGTGTGTTACTAATAAAAAGTTATCAAAAGCAATTAGTATTATTTTTTGTTGAAAAATAGTAATTTAAAATAGTTAAACTATTATACCCATTTTACAAAAAAAGAGTAGTTTTTTGTTAGGAAAGTGGTGGTTAATTCAACACGCATGAGTAATTGTTGAGAGGTGGGTAGTTAAAATGATGTAATTCTCTTTAGAAATGAGATAGATTAGGCAATACATTAAATGACACAATTTGTTTTTTACCAAACCCTTCCTTCCACTTTATATATAGTAAGACCAGTGATTGACGCACTCAATGTGTATGCTAATGATAAAAAAAAAAAAAAATATCTTCTGCTAAACTAATGAATATAGATTCATTATTTGACAATAAAATCTAGTAGCAGTAAATTAAAAAAGTTAATACAAACAAATCTTAAAAATCAAACAAAAAATTAAATCAAGCAATTATCTATAAGCGGTTATGTTTAAGTAATAAACATGTATTTCATTGATTGTATGATGTTAGTTGGTGAGACGATATTTGAAGGGTAAAGGGGAATTCTAAAAAGTGATAACTGATTACGTCAAATTACCTGTTCCCGCTTTATTATTGTAGAGATATCATTGAGAGAAAGAAAGGAAAGTGGATGAGAGAAAGAAGGACAAGTGGGTCATAAAAAGTTTAAAAGATGAAGGGTATAGGAAATCTATGAAATGACAGAAAATTTTAAAAGGAAAAAATTTTAAAAATATATTAAAATTTTTAATAGTTGTTGGAGTTTTTGTTTAGAAATATGGATGGAAAAATTGTGTTTTTCATCTCTTTTCATTTTTTTGGATAGGAAATTGTTGGTAGTTATTGCTTCATTGAAAGTCTTTTTAGGCTAAAAAGGGTGATATGTATCTGTGTTTGTGTGTGTTTATTATATTGGTAGTTATGTAGGGGTGGGAAGTTCAACAGATTTTAGATGTGGGTAGATAATAGTAAATATTGGAAGGGTATATTTGACAAAACAAATAATGGCACTTTTTTTTTACACCAAACCCTGCTCAAACTTTATATATAGCAAAACTAGTGTTGAAGGCAGACCCACTGTGTGTGCAGTTTAGAAATAATTATTAACTTTTATGAATATATTAATTTTGTTTTTACAAAATTAAATTTTATATAAATTCTTCATGAAAATAATTGCAATTTATTAGTTATTTTTTCTCTAATACAATTTTAGTTAATTTGATAGTTGCAATATTTAAGGAAGTTATGAAAGATTATATTAGCAAATGTGACTAGGCAGTTAGGATAAAAATTAATTTTTTAAGGGAAAAATTAAAAATGATACAAAATGTTTACCCTAACAGCCATCTCTCTCCTTTTATTATTGTATAAATAGTATAGATATTTCCACAATTTGATCATGTGACGCCCCGAAAAGTAGGGTTTTCATTTTATGGATATTTTTGTTGGACGAGCGGAGTAGCACAGTTTTTCAACTCGGAAAAGAAAAGAAAAGTTTCGAAAAATGGCAGTGGCCAAATCCGGCCGGAAATCCGGCCAGTTTCTGGCCGGATAGCTGGCCGGATTGCCCTGCAGTTTTGAAAAAATTTTGATCAGCCTCGGCCTTGTATCCGGCCAGGAATCCGGCCGGAAATCCGGCCAGATTCTGGCCGGATTGTGACGTGTCACAGCCGATCAGCTTTGACCGGCTGCCTTTTCTTCCTTCTTATCTCATTGTTTTGGCCAAAATATCTCATTTTTCTTCCCTGGTTCATCCGAGCTTCATAGAGAGAAATACTCTCAATTTTCCTAGTTCAATTTTGGCAAATATCTTGAGTTTTAACCAATGATTTTGCAAACTATTTCACACAAGGGTGCACTATGGTGGTGTAAAGCTTTTGATGGATTGTTTTTGGAGGGGAGGCTCTATGTTGATGGTTTCTTGAATTTGAGGTAAGTGGCATAAACAAGTTTCCTTTTGGTCTAATATTGGTTAATTAATGATTTGTGGTGGTTAAATGTGTTATATTGTGAAGTATTTCATGGGTTGAAGGAATTGATGGTGAATTGTTGATTTATTGGGTATTTTTCTGATTTTATATGAAAGTTATGATTAGGATTGGATTGATGGATTGAAATGGTGTTAATTGAAGCTTTTATGCGTTAATTGTGATCGATTGCAGAAAATTTATGCTTGTAGTGTGATTTCCGGTTTCTAGGGTTTCGATTTGGGGAAAATTCTAATAGTTGGCTTATAAGCTTCTAATTGGCTTGCTTGAGGGGCATTGTGGCCCTAATTGAGTATATTTACTAGTCTATAAATTGTATGTACAAATGGAGTTGAATTGATATATATTTGGTATTGAATGGTAGGTTGGAAATGTGTTAAATTAAGGGGTAATACTGTCCCATTTTTGGAGAGTATATGATTGATTTGAAGTTGTGTGATCTTGATTAAATTTATGGAAATTCTTGTAAATGGGATGTTGGGTTGTTAAGAGTCCATAATGGTGACATTTCTAAGCTTTGTTTAAGTTCATTCATCCTTGTTTTGGCATGTACATGACTAGTATAGACTAGTCTCATGTTAAGTGAGGATTTCTAGCCCTTAATTGTGGTTAGTGATGGTTATTTGCAAAGATTGGCTTGGAAGTGTAATTTCAGCTTTTGTTGTATTATTTCTGCCCTGTTTTCGTACTGTACATTTGACCATGTTAAAGACTGATTCGGCTCTTGCTCAAAACATGAAACTTGTAGATATATGAGTTAGCTAGTTACCTGCAAAATTTTAGAGTGATTGGAGTACTGTAGCTTGTGAATTGACTGAAATACCCTTGACTGTTCATAGACCCTATTTTGCGGACAGTTTTCTGCCCTCTTCGAGATTTCGATATTTGATCCTGAAAATGTGTGATTTGGCCTTGGAAATCTTCATAAGAAATGTTGACATATGTTTTAGCTTCGTAACGCCATAAGATTTGTTTTGATCGGATAGGTATAGCTTTACTTGTGATTAAAATGCCAAAAGGCAATAGAAGCTTGTTAATGTTAGAATTTTCCTTTGCTTGACTTGATATTTGGTTTTAGGATTTCAACTTGATCAAGATAATGAGGTTTGCCGAATAAGCTTCGTGAGCCGTGCTTGGTGAGTGTATCATTAAATGGTTCAATGTACTTGTTATATGACTTGAATAGGTCGAGGGTGTACTTTACCGCTCTTGACCACTTGCTTGCACTATTGTTACTGTTGGACTGTGAAATTTCATGAATATGTGATTTGATATTTGTTAGGGCAATGCCCTATTATTTCTGTGAAAACTGAGCTCATTCCCTTGGACCGTTATTTGAGTCGAGCCGGCAAGGGCTTGGGCGATTCGTTAACGAGCCTTCGGGTCTCTGATAGGCGAGTGGAGTGTTATCTCCTCGACCTTGTGGTATACTCGAGTATTACCCTTTGAAACTATGAGGTGTGCGGGCCCGATCAGGGGGTGAATGGTGGAAGGAAATGGTGAGAAGTGGTGTCTACGGTTCTTGGTTATCCTCGATGGTTGACGGAGTGTCAACGAGTACGATCAAGTATGGACCTCGGAAACGGCCCTTGAGGGCCGAATGTATCCTTTTATAAATGGATGTTTGAATGAAGGCACTTATGCATATATGTTATTTGGCCATATCATGTACTTGTGCATTTGGTACCTCACGAGCGC